AAAGGGATGACTCAGAGAGACAGAAAACAGCTGGTGAAGATGCTGGAGATCAAAGCCAATGCCAAGGGCTTAGAACAGAGGGACTTTTGATCAGTTTTCTCTCGCCAGGTTTTCCTACCTGTGTCTTAAGCTGTTTTGTGTATCATTGCAACCTCATTCCAACAGAAATTTAAGGGAGTAGCGTTTATTTCTGGTGCATGTACTACCTCTGTTTAGTTTTAATACCACAAATTAGAATTAGTGGATGTTGTGGATGCAGCAGGTGTGGATGGCTGAGGTCTCGGAGAGTGAGGACTCAGATGAGGGGCCTGCGTGTGATGCAGGGATGGGGCCAGGACCATCAGGGAGTGGAATGCTGCCTTTGGAGCTTATGGGGGCTGGCAGCAGTGATGAAGAGTTCCCCGAGGAGCCTGTGCCCAGTGCGTGTGTGCTCAGGGCCTGCTCAAAGGAAAGAGCAGCTGCAGCAGCACAAGCGACTCGGGAGTAAGACTGCAAGGTAACGGCCCCTCCCTTAAGAGATAAAAGCCAGCTGAGAAACCGGAGTTCTTTGCTTGTTCTTATCAGAGACAATGACTTAGAAACAGCCTATCAACCGTGAAGGAACGGAATTCGTAAAGAATCATTAAAAGGTTTGCTGTTACCTCTGTTTCATGTTTGCTTCCTTGGAACAAGGTTTGGGTCAGAACAGCGGGGGGAATGGGGATATTTAACCCTTTTCTTGCTGGTTTATTGTCTTGTATAACGATAAATAAATGGTTTGGGGCATTTTTCTAGGCATTGTAATTTATCTTTTGAAGAACTTCAATGATTGAAAGCAAACGGTGTCTGTTTATAAAAGATTCCTAGCAGGAGCTGGGAGGGCAAAAGAAATCTGCACACATTTCAAAGGAGGCACCCAAGCACAATGCATGGAAACAGTTGTGGCCTGTCGGCCACCATCCCCTCCAACAGCCGAATCAGAGGAGGAGGAAGAGGCGTGGAAGTCAGGGCCAGCATCAAGGCAACCTGAGAGCTCCGAGGGGGAAGAGGAAATGGAGCTGCCAGAGATAGAGACAGTGGTGGAGCCTGGGCCATCTGTCAGCCCTCAGATGGAGAGTCAACCCCAGGTCTGGAGGTGGCTGATGAGGAAGAGGAAGAACAGCTGGGTCCAGTGCCTGATGCACGGATGCGCAGAAAGCAGAGGAGAGGAGAGCAGCAGGAATCTATGAGCCGGTCCTTGGGATGGAAGAGTCACCGCTCTGAATCTAGGTGTGGCAACTATTCATTTCCCTGCTGATTAGCCACTGATAGCCTGTACTTCTGAATCCTGTCTGGAAATTATCAGAATTCTTCTTGGAATCTGTAGTGCCTTCTGAGTGTGTGTGTGTGTGTGTGTGTGTGTGTGTGTGTGTGTGTGCTGATGGAAGAAAATGAGCACACCTTCCAGGACTTCCTTTGCAAGTATGTGGGCGGGGGAGGGAGGGAGAGAGAGAGGGAGAGAGAGAGGGAGAGAGTAAGAGAGAGGGGGTGTTGGGCTAGTTCAGGGGAAATGGGAGCAAGGTCAACTACAAAGGGCTTGTCGTCATTGGCAGCTCTGGGTCAGAACAGAAACAGATTTCACTGAGGAGTGAACAGGTTCTATTTGTTTTTTCCATACTCCATTCAAACTTTTACACCAAAAGATGTGAGAAACAGAGCATGAGGTAGCCTTTGCCTTATGACCATTGCTTTAACGAGAATTCAAAGATACAACAGTTCTGAAAAAAGTGAATTACGATCACTCTGCACACTTACAACCGTAGCAGTGTCTCCTGGTCATATGTTCACAATTCAGGTGCTTGGCAACGATTGTGTGTTTATGACAATTGCAGACTCAGTTGTGATTGTCATTTGCAACCTTCCCAGCCAAGTTCTGATAAGCAGATAATGGGAAAGATAGATTCTTTTAATAAATGCATGATTTGCATGAAGAAGATCATAAAATCAGTCTGTTCAAATGATGAATATGCAATGGTGGCGCAGTGGTTAGAAGGCAGTACTGCAGTCTACTTCGGCTGACTGCAATTTGGCAGTTCAAATCTCATCAGGCTCAAGGTTGACTCTTCCTTCCATCCTTCCGACTTGGGTAAAATGAGGACCCAGATTGTTGGGGGCAATAGGCTCACTCTGTAAACTGATTAGAGAGGGCTAAAGCACTGTGAAGTGGTACGTAAGTCTAAGTGCCATTGCTATTGTCATAAATTGAAGACTGCCTGTATTTGGGAAATTGCCTCCAAACATGCTAATGAAAAGTTGTTTTTTTTAAACAGGGTATTTGTATGTTCTTAACAGCAAGTAACAGAATAATTGAGTTGGAAGGGACCTTGGAAGTCCAACCCCGCTGCAGAGGGATTGCATACTAAAGTAAGTATTGTAGTGTAGCCACGGATGACTATACATTTATATTTTCCACTATTTCCAATATTGCATAGAAATAAATCCAGGCAAAAGATTTAGACTGAACCTATACCTTCCACTTCACAGCACAAGATAGCAATGATGTAAGACTAGCTATGTAAAGGCCAGTGGAGAATGAGACAGATATATAAATGCTCACATATAAACTTCTCCTTCACTAGAAAAACAGCAATTTTAGGGTTTTTAGCAGTGTTTCTTAACCTTGGCCATTTGAAAATGTGTGAAACCAGCATAGCTGGCTGGGGAATTCTGGGAGTTGAAGTCCATCTATCTTCAAATGGCCAAGGTTGAGAAACACTGATTTTCAGAATCAACTATGTATTTCCCAACCATTCTCCTTTTGAACCTTAGCTGTTTATGGCTTTACATCAGTGGTGGGATTCAAAAAATTTTACTACTGGTTCTGTGGGCATGGCTTGGCAGGTATGGCTCGGTGGACATGGCAGAAGGATACAGTAAAATCTCCATTCCCTCCCCATTCCTGGGGGAAGATTACTCCCAAAATCCCCATTCCCACCCAACTCCACTAACCTGCTTTCCATCTCTGTTCTCCTGTGCAGGGCAACAAAAGAAGACCCAGTCAGGATTCAGGAGGCAGAGAATAGATGGGGCGGAGTCAGTCAGGGCCAATCAGAGGTGGTATTTGCCAGTTCTCTGAACAACTCAAAATTTCCGCTACTGGTTCTCCAGAACTGGTCAGAACCTGAATACCACCTCTGTTCTACACTGCATTTATACAACAGAATAGGCCTTAAGTTTCATACCTAAAGTCATTTCTTCACTTTCATTTAATTGTACACTGAAGCCCAAGAGAAATGTGTGTTTCCTGATAATAAATAAATCCGAATTATCACATCATGTAAACAGCTCCATAGACTTTATAATCAATGTATAAGTATAATCCTACCATAATTTATACATATATTGTTGAGGATTCCACCTTATTCAGCTTTTTCTAACTTGGTAATATAATTTTTGTATGTGTGAGATGATTATTGTAACTCTACATGATATGGTTTAGCCCAGTGATTCTCAACCTCTGGTCCATGGACTCCTAGGGGGCTGTGATGTCATCACAGGAGGTCTGCAAAGGCTGGGAGAAATGTTATGATTTAAATCTTGAGTATTGGGGAGGTCTGTGGCCTTGGTACATGACTGCAAAAGATACTTAGAGGGGTCCGTGATGAAGAAAACATTGAGAACTAGCAGTTTAGTCCACTCTTCAAAAAATGCTGCATATGATAATTTCCTAAGAGGAGAACTAGGTCTCCTAAGACATTTTTGTTAGGCCATGACAGCTAAAACACAATTGTTTTAAATTCCTTACCAAAATTATATTACAATACAGATAGTCCTCAACTGACTGGTTGCTTAGCAGCCATTTGCAGTTATATCAGACAGTTTTTCCTCGAAAGCCATCACTCTGCTAAACAAATAATTCCCTCAACACTGTCCAACTACTTACAAAGTCTGCACTATTATTACTATTGATCTTCTCATCACTCCTTATCACCCATCTCCTCCCACTTGTGAATGTATGACTGTAACTTGGTCGCTTGTATCCTTAAGATTTATATGAACTGTTTACTAGTATGATTTGATTGCTTCATTAAGTGTTGTACCTTATGATTCTTGACTTTTATGCACACTGAGAGCTTAAGGCACCAAAGACAAATTCCTTGTGTGTCCAATCACACTTGGCCAATAAAGAATTCTATTCTATTCTATTCTAAAATGGGGTCCCCAAACCCCGGTCCGTGGATTAGCACTGGTCCACAGCATGCCAGAAGCCGGGCCAAGCAAACAAGTGAAACCCCATCCACAGGATACAGGCAGCAAGCAAAACCATGCTCCCTCTGGTCTGTGGTAAAACCTCTCTCCACAGAACTGGTCCCTGGTGCCCCAAAGGTTGGCGGGTGCTGCCCTAAAAGGCACTCGTGACTTGTATTCAAACGTCCTCCTTGCAGTCACATTTTTGCATTTTGGATGCTTGGCAACCTGACCGCATTTACGGTGGTTTTGCACTATCCTGCAGTTATGTGCCTGAGACTTATGACATTTTTGGCCAGAAACTGGTGTTTGCTTCTAGTTCCCACCACAAAGCAACCACCGGGAACAAAAGATTTCCTCCGGGCCACAGTATTCAGTTAAGAAGCAAAACAACTGCAGAGTTTGCTTTACGACCATCAAATTCACTTAACTGTAAAAAAGGTCATAAAATCAGGGACAATCATGCGATGATTCACTTAATGACTATCTCGATTTATGACTGTAATTTCAGACTCAATTATGGTTATAAGTTGAGAAGTCACCGTAGTTTGCTGAAATCTGTGGTGTTGTAGTACAGTTACACAACAATTTGAGTAACTAGAGTTACACAATTTCCAGATTTATTCTTTTGAACTATTCTTTCATCCACCCGAAGCTTTTATGTTGACAATGAAATTCATCTCTTTGGTTAATTGACAATTTAATTGCATTTTTATCTGTTTAGTTATAGGAGGTGCAGTTCTTTTCTTTTTAAGACCGGAACTCTGTTCCTAGCTAATTTATTGCAACCTCGCTTTATTTCAATGGACTATGATTACAGATACACGTAAGATATAAGGTATGCATGTTTGAAAATATTGTATATGTGAAAAAGAACTTGATGAATCCAGCAGTTAAAGTCATACAGTTTACGAAACTGTTTTATGTCTTTCTTTTTTTTAAATTTTAAGACTATTTTTTGAAAAGTTCTTTTTTTCTTCTCTCTTTCTCCTTTGGTGCATGGGATTGAACAACTCAGTCAAATTCTGTTTTTTCCCCTGTTGCAAGTAATAAAAAGATCCATTCAAGACGTGTCTGCTTTTGATGTCTGCTGTAAAAGTGTCAATTAAGTTTGAAAGGAGAACAAAGGGGAGGTAAACATTGATATGGCTTTCATTGGGTCTGCCAGCTTGGAGGATTTCTGCTTCTTTTCCTTTTGAGAAAGAAGTTCATGTTATCTGCAGCTTTGTTCCTGCTTTGGTTCAATACACAATTTCTCTCCAAGTTTTCTGATAAGTTCTGCTAGGTCTTCTGTGTTCTGTGATTTTTCTTCAAGGAGCTCATATCGAAGGCTTGAGATGTCCTGTTTAATTTCTTTCAGCTCACCTGTAAAAGAGAAAAGATCAAAGGTTTAGGAACAGAGGAACGAAGGATCTGTTTCCAGAGGGAAGCTAATAAATAAAACACCAATAATGAAGGTAACGAAACCTTGGCTTTATTATTATTATTATTTTTTAATAACAAATCTGTTTTTCAAAAGAGGTGGATTTTTTTCCCCCTAGAAATATTGAATCTTTCTCAAGAAGAGAAATAAGGTTTAACACTGGCTCTCAAAGCAGAGCTAATTCTGCCACTATTTTGAATAGCTTTTCCAGTATTGGATAAACATCAGCTATATTGATATGAGAATCTTTGTCCTTCCCAAAGGTGCTTTTCGAAAGGCAGCTGGACTTCATTTTTTCTTTGAAGACTTTCTGCTTCTTATCCAAGAAGCTTCTTATCCAAGAAGCGAAATGCCTTCAAAGAAGAACCAGAAAGTCCAGTTGCCTCTTGAAAAAGCACCTTTGGGGCAACCATGATCTGGATGACTGAGAATCTCCATAGACATCCTTGTCTTTCACATCTACAGTATATGGATCCCTGACAGGAGCTATTTTTAAATTCATGGTGGAATTTCAAATACCATCTTTGTTTCCAAGAATGATATGAGATATATGATGATGATGATGATGGTGATGATGATGATAATGTTTTTACAGTGGGAAGTTTTAGCCCACTGCTTTGGTTTGTCATACTTACAAATGATTGTTTGTCCTTGACTTACAACCATTCATTTAACAATCATTCAAAGTTACAATGGCATTGGAAAAAACAACTTACGACTAGCCTTCACGCTTATGACCCTTGCAACATTCTCCTGGTCACATGATCAAAATTTGGGTACTTGGGAACCAGGATGTATACAGCATACCAGGGTCACATTATTGCCATTTGTGACGTTCCCAGCTGGCTTCTCTCACAAAGTCAAATCCTAAATTGAATTTTCTTAACAACCATGTGATTCACTTAACAAACGCAGTGATTTGCTTAACAATGATAAAATTGGTCATGACTCACTCAGTAACCGTTTTGCTTAGCAATGGGTATTCTGTTCTCAACTGTGGTAATAAGTTGAGGACTACCTATGTTGCACAAGAAAAAGGGTGAGTCTTTATTTGTTGGTTTGTGTCGTGTCCTTCTTTTCATCCTAGGAGCGCAAAAAGTGGTATACCTCATTCTGCCCCTCAAGCCTTAGCCTCAACTTTCAGGAAAGGATTAAATTGAGAAACCCATTTCAGAGAAGATGCTAACTGGCCTTATCTTATCTTATCTTGTCTGGTCTTGCCTTGCCTCTGACATCAAAGCACAATTTTAAGCCTTAAGACAGACTGGCTGCTTAATATGTAATTCCTTTTAAAAAATCAAGCCTGCTGGAAACTTCCAACATTTTTTTTAACATCAGAGATCCTTTCTTTAGATTCTCAGTCAAGGACGGAAATACTGTTCTATCCACATCTACCAGGGCTCATATTATGACATGCAGATGGAGATTCTGTATCCTGTTACAAATTGCAGAGGTCAAGTTTCTGGATTCACTGCAGGCTCAAATACACAGCCAGGAGGGAAAAAAAACTGACCAACATTTACTGCTCCTTGGTAATGAGATCACTGCCTTCACAACATATAGTAATAGCCACAGTGGCACAGTGATTAGAATGCAGTACTGCAGGCTACATCTGCTGACTGCCAGCTGCCTACAATTTGGCAGTTCGATTCTCACCAGGCTCAAGGTTGACTCAGCCTCTTCCAACCTTCTGAGGTGGGTAAAATAAGGACACAGATTATTCGAGGGGCAATATGATGACTCTATAAACCACTTAGAGAGGGCTGTAAAGCACTGTGAAGCAGTATATAGGTCTAAGTCCTATTGCTATTATATACCAGTGCTTTACAGCATTCTCTGTGCTGTAAAGCACACAACAACTAAAGCCCTGGTGATACAAACAAACAAGATTTTTTAAAATCTAATACTAGCTGGATACCTGTGCTTTGCGATGAAACTATGTGACTGGGCTTAGTTTTGGGGGAGGAAAATAAGGAGAAAAAGATTGTGCCTCTGCCTACCAGCATCCATCGGTATTCATCTGGCTAGGGTCCTGTCAGTGAGAAAGTTGAGGGCTGTTTGGAAACTGAAGCAGTACTTGCTGTGTGAGCAAGAAGGAGACAGCAAGGAGCCTGGGCATGGCTTAGCTCAACTGTTCTGTACTAAAGCTGCTTGATGCTGTAAAACTGAAACTCCTCTCCTCTGCTTGTGTTTTGCAGGTGGGTAGGGGGAATAGAACTCCTCAGCATCACAGTGTGTTAATAATAACATACGAAATACTAATGCTCTGATAGTCATTTTGAAAAATCCTTTCTTAGTGAGCACCTAGAATCCAAGAGGAACATACGTGCCAAATTTCAAGTTTGTAGGCTTTGCAGTTCTGGAGATTTTGTGATGTTGCATGAGTGGTATTTCGCTTTTATATAAATAGATTAGAATGATAGCCATTCTACAATCTCACCTTCATTGACTTCATCACTCTCTCTGTCTACTTGAGCTTTCAGTATATATCGTTTAACAAGACGTTTCATGATCTTCTGGAAAAGAGAAGCATAAAAAAATGTTTTTAGCCTTGATGAAAGGATCCCAATCCTACAAGCTGACTAATGCTTGGATTGCTCTCCAGGAATTATGCAGAGACTTGCTGTGACCAAACTGATGCTTATACAAGTATTGCCGTGTCATGTATATTAACCATATTAACTCAGAAACCCCACTGAATGTAGTAGGATTTACTGCTTCGTAATAATTTCCCTATATTTTTCCCCTGACCCAAAATAAATGTGATGCAGGAGATCCATTTTTGGAAAAATCCATTAAGAGATTTACTCGGAAGGACAAGATAAGTTTGCTATTACCCCAAAGAAAAAGGTATGGAATAATAGAAATCAATGATATAGACAGAGATTCCACCTTGAAAGTTAGGAAAAAACTTGAACAATGAGAACAGCCGGTAGAACCAGTTGTTCAAAAAGCTGGTGAGATCTTTTCATCGGATGCGTTGAAATGAAGAATTAGAGAGCCATCTGTCTCAGATGGTTTAATTTAGATTTTTGAAGAGAACAGGGAATTGGACTCAATGGCCTGGTAGAGACTTTATATTAATTCATACGCTATTGTGATTCAACTATTGTGATTCAATAGTTAGCACAATTAATCAGTGGAACAACTTGCTTCCAGAAGTTGTGAATGCTCCAACACTGGAAGTTTTTAAGAAGAGATTGGATAACCATTTGTCTGAAATGGTGTAGGGCTTCTTGCCTAAGCAGGGGGTTGGACTAGAAGACCTCCAAGGGTCCCTTCCAACTCTGTTATTCTTTTCTATTGAATCATGGCAATTCCTGAAGGAAGGATTCCTGTATGACATTTTTCATAGTTGAGCCTTCTCGCAAGTTATTTTTTGACTTCTTCATGTAAGACTGAATATGTCTTACACCTTGTACTAAAATTCTTCAGAATTTTGTCCATTGAATTTCCTGGATGGTTCCAATTGGTCAGAATCACACTAAATTTATAATTTACTGAATTAACCTATTTCTTTCAGATCTGCAGAATTCAACAAACCATAACCAACCAAACAGGTTGAGTTATGAGACCTGGGCTGAAAAATACAGATATATAGTTAAAAAAATATCTAGTGCTTTGCTTTTGTATAAAGGCTATCCTAAATTCTACAGTCTAGATCTGGTAGCTGTACTTGACAAATTAATTCACAAAAAAAATATAACCCAGGTAAAACTTGGCTAAGTTCTTGTGCAGATGCCACAACTATCTTTTTAACTGATCTAGTTAAGCATAAGATGCAAACTTGATACTTACCTGGTACTTTCTCTGTGAATTATTTGAGCTGTTTAAGTCGATGTCATCTGTGCTTCTTATATTTGGTAGCTTATTATGCTCCATCTGAAAATAAGAAATAATGAGAGGCTTTCTTAGATAATTCCAACTTATTTTTCTTCCTTTTTTTCTACCTGCTGGATATTTCAAAGAAGATAAGCAGGGAAGCCCAAATAAAAAGCCAGGGAAGAACAGGTGAATATTTTTATTTAGTGGCACTATTTTATCCCTATTAATTGTCACCAACTAACAACTGGGTTCTGTATAAATATATCATTCCAATTTACTTTCTCTTATTTTGTGGCTTTTTGTATTCAGTCTTCTGTATTATTTTTTTTATCTAGGAACCTGATGGTAGTTTTTAAGGATCCAGACTGTCTGCTTCACTAAATTGAGGATCATGTCCACATGGATCAAAGTATTTTCAAAACTCACCTTTCATATTTGCTGGAGTACTTTTTTATTTCCCCAAATGACTGAAGCTTTAGCTACTAACATGATAAAGGGAGAGCAAGCTGTCATACTGAGCATAATAACTATTAGACATGAGCTCCAGAATGCTGATCATTTTATTTATTAATTCATAGGAGTTCTAGAAGAGGGAAAAAATAAGCATTTCCTTCTTCACTCCTCTTTTTCCTTTGCATTCCCATAAGCAGAAGATTGATATTCTTAAGAAAAAACAACTTGGTTTCTCTTTTATTTTCCTCACTTTAAGGATACAAAGCTTAACGTGCAAGTTGGTTCCTAGAGTATTCCTTAATAAACTTGATTTGTCTTTTTGGATCTCCATGTACAAATTCCCTTAATTGGCTTAATTCTACTTGCATACATACATCCCAATACATGTAGGTTGTGATAAATAGACCAAGGATTTCAACTACCATTGCCTTCATTTTCCCCTCCATTACCACATAATTACTAAATTCCATCTAAAACATGTGTTTTTCATCCTCATGCAAGAAGTATGATATTTGTTCTTTTAGAAATTTGGTTCCTTTCCAAATTTTTCCAGTTTTCAGGAAGCAAAATCTCATAGGAATAGCTATCCTTTACGTTCTGGAACATCTCTCATTAACACGCTCTCTAAACAAATTATCTAGAGGAACAGTTATTTTTAGTGTTATGCAGAAAAAATATCCTCTATTTTTTTATTTCTCTCTCATTAAATAAAATTTCCTTTCTAAATTTGTTTCAGAAAAGAAGTCTGGAGCATTTTTAGTTCTAAAGTCAACAATAAACGCACCAATTCCTATTTTTCACATAAAATAATCTCTTCGGCAATCTACAATTCTCCTGATTCCTCATACTTCCATTAAGAAGGGATAATAAGGGAACTTAATCCATGGAGATGTTTCTAATTCAAGGTAATGGAAAGATCAGGACCACCAGCAATAGCTGGGACCTTCTACAATAATGCTCATAACTACTACTAAAAGGAAGTCAGAAATAATTCTCAGTCCCTCTGAAAGTAAGCAGAAGGCAGATTTCATTAAGTAGTTGCATTAAATTGTTTCAGTGTAATAGTATTTCAAGACTGGCTGTTAAATTTTAAAAGGCCCAACTGAAATTACATTGCATTACAGTCTGTGAACACATGGTGGCAGGATACACAAAGTCTGTACACTTTTCAATTGTCTAATAGTCTAAAAGCTGCCTCATTTCCTGAAACAGTAGGGTAGAAGCATAATAGCCGCTGATTTTACTTGCTTGAAAGCTCACATCCTGAGGGAGCCATTGTATTGAATGGTATAGGAATAGCACCTATTTCCTCCTCCGACTCAAACTATGAAAAATATGTAATTCTAGTATGTGGCAGCTGGTTACCTGATTCATTTCAGCATCCTCCTGGAAACCTTTCGTATGGCAAAACAGTAGTTTAAAAATCCACGTCTTTATTCTGAGGGAAAAGTACAGCAGAGATTTGGGGCTGGGCACCAGATTGAAAGGGACAGGAAGTGTTCTGCCTTCCTCAAAATAAGAAAACCAGAGTTTCGCTCTGGCAAACTTCCATTCTACATCGGCATCGTCCTGGAAGGCAGAGAAAACAGTCTGTCAATGGTTACCTTGCACAGTGGGACACAGATGAGAGTATGCACTTGTTTAAAGAGCTGCAGATTTGTCTAAGCACTTACAATGCACTCTCTCTCTCTCTTTCTGTCTCTCTCTCTCACGCACACACTCACACACAAACACTCTCATACACTTTTTAATATATGTATGAGCAGCGCAGTGAACTAGAGGTTAAGACGCTCGCCTCACGTTCAGGAGGTTGAGAGTTTAATTCAAGGCAGAGGCAGGTATTTCTCGTTCAGGGCTCAAAGAGAAAATATCTGCTGTGAACTGCATGTAGGTGTCAGGAAGGGCATCTGGCTAGTAAACGCTTAGCTCCATTCAGTCACCCTGACACCACCTCGATGCAGGGGATTACAGGGTTGTAAAAAGAAATAGATAGATGCCATTCTTCAAAATCAACAGTTTGTCAGTGTGGTCTATGCTAGGCTTTGAAGCTGACTATAAATATTGTTAATAAACACATGAAATGCAAATACATTAAATACATAATTAATCACAATTATTAAATAGCACAACACTAAAACAAAATAAAAGTAGCAGCCTGGATACAAATTTCTGAACAGCAAGATGTTAAAAAATCAGCACACTGATTGAGCGATTCACACAAAACTTCTTTGCTTGATGCTAGAAAATAAAAACTAGTTTGCTGAAAATACTTCTCTTTTTTCCCTAGTCCAGTGGTCGCAAACTGGTGGGCCGTGGGCCGCTTGTGGTCCATGAGAAAATTTTGGTGGGCTGCAGAGAAATCTCACCCCCAGAGCACCCCTCCAAAGCAATTAATCCAGGCTGCGCAGAAACACAAGTCTGCGCCACCCACATGGCCCGCAGGAACGCTCCCCGCCCACTCACTCCTTAACCAGTAAACTTATCTGCTAAATTGTTATTTTTCCTTTTTCTGACCATCATCTATTCTGCTGTGCCAGGAGATTTAGATTAGCTAGGAAGCAGAAAATGGTTGGATTTCTTGCCTTCTAGCTTGTCTTTAGATCTTTGGCTCTGCTTTTAAGCACAGCCGAACCTCCCTTAGGACTGAAGGTTTGCTTGCAAGCAAATTCAGTGCAGACTCACGGCAAGCAAATTTGAGAGACTGAGCTAGCCAATAGCAGATAGATAGATCACTGAATGATTCTGTGAGCAACTCAATCTGCCTGCTTTGCCTAATTTTGGGTAAAAGGTGCTCTTTTCTTAAATAAAAAATTCAATATTTACATGCATGGTGTGTTGTGAGTTAATTTTATGAGTTTGCTTGCAAGCAAATGTTATGTGACAGACTGAGCTAGCCAATGGCAGATAGATAAATTTCTGATGATTCTGTGAGCAACGCAATCTGCCTGCCTGCTTTGCCTGATTTGGGGTAAAAGTTGCTCTTTTTTATAAAAAAAATCAATATTCATATAAATATTTATAATATTTACATACCAGCCATGCCCAGCCAGTCACATGATCACCACGCCATACCCACAAATTAGGGCACGCCCACAGAACCAGTTAGTGGTCCCTGGGATCTAAAATTATGAGTTTCGTGGTCCCTGAGGTCCAAAAGGTTGGCGACCCCTGCCCTAGTCTATTGGTTTATTTTGTCAGGTGATTCTTTCTGGCATTTAATCAAAAGCCCTTGCTTATCCTGTTCTTTTATATCTTACCTATTAAAATGGCAGGGAACTATCTATCTATAGCTTCAGAAAGTGAGTATTACATCATTTTTAATAGCCTCTTCCCCAAAGCTTCCCCAAGCTTTTCTTCACAGGCCTTAGCATGCAGACTGTGTGTTGCCTCTTTTCTCTTCTTCTGGACATGTTCCAGTCTGTCAACAACCTTCTTAAATTACAGTGTTGAAAACTAGGTATAAAAGTATCAGAGTAGTCTTGCTGGATTTGGCCAGAATATAATTCTGTCCCCAGAAAACAACACCCAAAAGCATTCAGGAAGGTCATAGCCCACATGACAATGTTCCAGAACAGGCCTTGGCCAAAATAGAAGACTGTTGCAAATATAGAGTTTTCTTACTCATATTTAACCATCAGCAGAGCTGTAAATATAATTTTAATGAACAGTAATAATTTTAAAGACAAGCTCTATTAACTCAAAGACTGCTTCTATGCTACAATGTTTCCTGTGTTTGTTTGCTAGCATGGTTGTAGTTCCTAATTAAGAATATACAATATTTTAATGTCTCTGAGGAAAGCCCGTATCAGTTTAATCAGAATATTACCTCAATTTCCTGGAAGGAACTATTAATCATTGCGATAAGCATGTTCAACAAAACAATAACCATGGTGACATTATAAACACCGTAAAGGACATAGCCAATATTTTCAATAAATTTGTGGTTATAATTTATGACCACAGATTTTACTTCAGAAAGTCCAAATATTGCCCAGAACAAAGTCTTGAAGCTTTCTTCCACTCTGAAAAAAAAAACAAAAAACAGAAGCATGAACAAATCTTGCAAAAGATCTTGAAAAACTGAACTGCAACCTGCCTATCTTTAATGAATAGTACTTGAAAATAAGAAAACTAAGATCATGGCATCCAGCCCTCTCAATTTTTGGCAAATAGATGAGGAAGAAATGGAAGTAGTGACATATTTTATTTTCCTGGGCTCCAAGATCACCGCAGATGGGGACTACAGCCAAGAAATTAAAAGATGCTTGCTCTTGGGGAGGAAAGCTATGGCAAATCTAGACTGCATACTAAAAAGCAGAGATATCACCCTGTCAACAAAAGTCCATATAGTCAAGGCTATGGTTTTCCCAGTTGCAATGTATGGCTGTGAAAATTGGACCATAAGGAAGGCTGAGCGCCAAAGAATTGAGGACTTTGAACTATAGTGCTGGAGAAGACTCCTGCGTATCCCTTGGGATCAAACAAGTCAGTCCTAAAGGAGATCAACCCTGACTGCTCTTTAGAAGGCCAAATCCTGAAGATGAAACTCAAATACTTTGGCCACCTAATGAGAAGGAAGGACTCACTGGAGAAGAGCCTAATGCTGGGAACGATTGAGGGCAAAAGAAGAAGTGGACATCAGAGAATGAGGTGGCTGGATGGAGTCACTGAAGCAGTAGGCATGAACTTAAATGGACTACAGGGGATGGTAGAGGATAGGAAGGCCTGGAGGAACGTTGTCCAAGGAGTCGCAATGGGTCAGACACGACTTCATGACTAACAACAACTACTTGAAAATATGTCATGGTCATGTCATATTTGCAGGATATGTGTTGTATATTTGTATGGTAGTCCTCAACTTACAACCACAAATAAACCATTTTTCATTTGCTAAGCAATTGATTTTTACAACTTTTCTTGCTACAGTTGTTAAGTAAATCACTGCAGTTGTTAAGTGAATCTGGCTTTCCCATTAACCTTGCTTGTCAGAAGGTCGCAAAAGGTGATCACATGACTCCTGGACACTGCAACCATCATAATATGAACCAGTTGCCAAGCATCTGAATTTTGATTACATGACCAGAGGGATGCTGCAGTGGTCATTAGCGTGAAAAACAGTCAAACGTAACTTTTTTCAGTCCCATTGTTAATTCAAATGATCACTACTTGTATCTAAAAAATTGAAAGATGAAGGTGCATTGTCACAATTTACAACCACCTGTTTCTACCTATGTCAACGCCATACTAATATCCAAAAGTGGTGTGACATCATGCCTATCATCTACATATTTTGACACTTCTTTGTGAATACACAGAAATGTCACAATGAATTGGGCATGTCAAATTTTTCAACTTTCCATTTCCAAATATTAGGGGTGCTCAAAAGTTGTGACATGCCTTGGGGATTGTAAAAATATTTTGGTTATTTTAATATAATTTAGATGGGCTTGGTAAGTAACTACATAAATATCATAACATTTTGTTTGTTTCATTTGATAATATATTAAACTTCTAGGCCTCAATGATACTGGGTGGATTACAACAAAAAAAAATTATAATAACATAAACATCAATAATTTTAAAATTTTAAGTGAGACATGATCAGATGTTGCTACAAAAATAATGGGAAAACGCAGTTACTTTGGCAAGTCAAAAGTAGAAATGTTTCTAGTTGTGTAGTATACCACTTTTTTTCATCTTTTAAATATTGCCTTCTTTTTTTCTACACGTTTACATTTTCTTAGCATGTTGATAGAAATGAGCATGGTTTGATGTGGATATTTAATATCCTTTTACATAATAACAGCAGTCTCAATTTTTTTTGAGTGTTGGTCCTGATGAAACCATAACAATAATATAAGCAACACACACAAAAAATCAGTACTGGATTGGGGATGCCTAATACTTATTGAATACCTAATGCTTCAATAACACCAAAATGAGGCAGAAAGAGAAACAAAATAGAGCAATTAGAACTGAAAATTGTTAGGCAGCATAAAATGCTGAATAGTATTTAGTATTTTTAGTATTTAGTATTTATTTGATTTGTCAATCGCTTACAAGATACAGGTATAAGAATAAATATAGTTGTGAATACATGAGATAGATACTTATAAGAAAAATAAAAAACAGTAGGACAGGGGCAGTAGGCACAATTGGTGCACTTATGCACGCCCCCTGCAGACCTCTTAGGAAGGGGGTGAGGTCAATAGTAGACAGTCTAAGGTTAAAGTTTTTGAGGTTTGGGGAAGAAACCAGAGTCAGGTAGAATATTCCAAAAATTGACCACTCTGCTGCTGAAGTCAATAGAGAAAGGAAAACAATACATCAGGGAAAGAGTGTAAACAAATTCAAAATATGTTGAAGGAACAGGTGTAGAATTGGCCAAAATCCCAAATTGCAATGATTTACAGTATGAATTTTGATACAGCCCTTTTCCAGTTTATTTCATAATGCACTATGCTGGATTTAGGATTGTAAGATTCTCTGTATACAGACAGTCCTTGGAGGAAGATGTGCTGGATATGTTCACTCCCTTAGGTTGTTTGTAAAAATAATAAGGCAGGATACAAATAAATAAACAATAAAATAATTAAATGCTTGCTCACACATCTGCATCAAAATATTGAATTTTGAATGTACACAGAGTAAAATATATGAAATGTATTTCATAAACTTTCTTCTGCATAATATTTCTTCTTAGGAAAATATACAGGCACCATAGTTCCGCTTTCACTAATAATCTTATCAATCCATTTTCTGGCAATTCAACAAGATACAGTACAGAGGTCTGGAACCTGAGGCTCTGGAGCCACATGCGGCTCTTTCAGTCCTTTGCTGTGGCTTCCTGTCAGCTGATCCTACCACTGGCTGGCCCCTCCCCTCCCTGTCACTCCTCGCCTGGCCTGAGAAGGGGGATGGCGGGGGATGGCAACTCACTCCATATTCCAGAGCAGGAGGTGACTGGGTGGGAGTGAGTGACATCCAATTGGCCACACCCACCCAGTCACACCGGTTAAATTATTGGCTCCCGGGTTTTCTTTTGTAGGAAACAGGTCCAAATGGTTCTTTGAATGTTTAAGGTTGCAAACCCCTGATATAGTAGAATGGGAAAAAAAATCACACTGACTAAATCCACTCATCTGGATTGATCACACTGCTCAATCCATTCATGAAAACATTTACCTAATCTGAATTCACAGATCTGAAGGCGTCGATATTAGCAGCATAAAATACGGTACAGCAAACGAATGTTTCAGGGCCAGCAACCATAGCGAACTATGACAAGGGAATCAAATATATTCTGCTCACACCAAGCATGTTACAAAGTCAAAAAGACTTAATCCAACTGAGTGCCTTCCAATACAATCATTCACAGATTCCACAAGGATTAACTTACGTGGTAAATGCTTCATTCTGCTTCGCTCCCAAGTAATAGGAGTAGAGATTAAACATTCCTATCATGAAGGCCACAAAAACCATGATAAATATGACCATGAACTTGAATATGTCTTTCACAGTTCTACCAAGTGATATCTGCAAGGGTCCAAAGCTTTCGTTGGCTGGCAAAATATAGGCGATGCGTGAGAAACTTAAAACCACAGCAATTGCGTACAAGCCTTCAGATATGATTTGAGGGTCAGATGGATCCCAGTCTATTCTTGCTAAAAAGAAAGAAATAGAAGAGTTTTAGTTTAATATGTTGAGCTTTGGTACTCCTACTTGCCTGCTCAGAACATTTGGTCAACTACAATAGAGGTAGTCCTCAACTTGCAACAGTTCATTTAGTGATGGTTCAAAGTTATAACAGCACTGAAACGTATGACCATTTTTCACACTTATGACCATTGCATTACTATCTGTAGCCTAGGAGTCATTTAACCTTGTATGAAATAAAACAACTGAGGAAATGAGAGACTCTTCCTTTGTTCTGGAACTGAGTTCATGCAACAATCTTTGGCTTCAGTACTGTTTACATTCAGGTTTGCGATGAACACGTCACTTTTCCAGCAGATTATGACTGATAAAATTGGTGAATAAATTATGGCATCTCATAAGAAGAGTTGATATCCTGCTTTTATATCCTGCTGCTTTTTACTATAAATTGGGATTGCAACTTTTTGGCAACTCCCAGCCAGTGAATTTTGAGAGTCGCTGTCTCATCAGATCCAAAAGGTGTCATATTTTGAAAAAATGTTTTTAAAACTGCTGTATATTTTCGGGAAATGGCTTGTTTATAATGTCTTGCTGATGTTTACTTCATAGCATTTAATTTTCTTTCATGACCATTCAGTAAACTTCTTTTACTTTAGAAGGAAAAGAACGTGTGCATGTGGTATTACTCTGTTTCATTTCCAAGATAAGCCAAGTTTGGTTAAAAAATTGAAACTTGGCTTATTTCTCGATGGGTCTACATAAAGTATATACGGTATACTTCAGGACTGAATAATATAAATTCACATTTAAAAAGGAATTAAAACATTAGTTTAGCTCTACAATATAAATCTGAGGTGCTCACCCAAAGTGTAGTACTTTATGTGTGGATCCAATGTTGCAGCTGACAAGTCTATCTCCGTATTAGCGTCAACAATATTCTGGGCTCTAGAAGCATGCCAGAAGGCCATGAATCTTGCAATGAATGAGGCTGCAAAAATAGCCAACATACCAAAATCTAGCATATTCCACAACTCAAACAGGTATTCCTTGGGACCTTGGGACCAAATTTCTTTACATTCAGCCCATATCATGCCTAAAAGAAAAAAGAAATCAGGACATTAGCTTTAGACTTCATAACTCTTCTTACCTCCGAAAGACTCTGAACATGGTGTACAATGGTTAAAAGAACAGAGATGGGGGTAGACAGGAGAGAGGCTGTTGAACTATATTTGTAAATGAACTATATTTGTAAATGCAGACTGGTTGCCAAACATCCAAATTTTGATCACATAAGCATGGGGACCCTGCAATGGCCATAACTTTGAGGACTGAGCCTAAGTACCATATGTTCAGTGCTGTTGGTCATCAAATGGTCATTAAGTGAGGAGTATCTATGGTTCTCACAGTCAAAGAATTTTCTTCTTATTTCAGGTCTGGTTCCCCCTCTGTAAAGACTCCATGCAGAATTAATCTTTGGGAGCTATGGAGAATAAATACCTACAATCTGTGACAGATCTTCAAGGATTTGATCTTCTTTAGGTCAAATATATCTAAGTTCTTCATCACTTTTCATAGAATCATCACTGTGTTGATTAGATTTTCTCTGCATTCTTTCCAGTTCCTTAAGTTCCAGATCTTTCTTGAATTGCAGTGATCCGAACTTGACATGGGTGGTCTGGCCAGTATAGAGCAGAACTATTCAACTATACAGGTGAAACTCAAAAAATTAGAATATCATGCAAAAGTTCATTTATTTCAGTAATGCAACTCAAAAGGTGAAACTAATATATGAGATAGACTCATAACGTGCAAAGCAAAATAGTTCAAGACATGATTTGTCATAATTGTGATTATTATGGCTTACAGCTCATGAAAACCCTAAATCCACAATCTCAGAAAATTAGAATATTACATGCAATCAATAAAACAAGGATTGTACATAGAACAACTTTTGGACCTTGGAAAAGTATAAGTATGCATATGTACTCAGTACTTGGTTTGGGCCCCTTTTGCAGCGATTACTGCCTCAATGCGGTGTGGCATGGAAGCTATCAGCCTGTGGCACTGCTGGAGTGTTATGGAAGACCAGGATGCTTCAATAGCGGCCTTCAGCTCTTCTGCATTGTTCGGTCTCATGTCTCTCATCTTTCTCTTGGCAATGCCTCATAGATTCTCTATGGGGTTCAGGTCAGGAGAGTTTGCTGGCCAATCAAGCACAGTAATCCCACGGTCATTGAACCAGGTTTTGGTGCTTTTGGCAGTGTGGGCAGGTGCTAAGTCCTGCTGGAAAATGAAGTCAGCATCCCCATAAAGCTCGTCTGTGGAAGGAAGCATAAAGTGCTCCAAAATCTCCTGGTAGACAGTTGTGTTGACCCTGGACTTAATGAAGCACATGGACCAACATCAGCAGATGACATGGCTCCCCAAATCAACACAGACTGTGGAAACTTCACACTGGACTTCAAGCATCTTGCAGCGTGTGCCTCTCCATTCTTCCTCCAGACTCTGGGTCCTTGGTTTCCAAATGAGGTGCAAAAGTTGCTCTCATCAGAAAAGAGGACTTTGGACCACGGAGCAACAGACCAGTTCTGTTTTTCTTTAGCCCAGGTAAGATGCTTCTGACGTTGTTTGTTGTTCAGGAGCAGCTTGACAAGAGGAATACGACATTTGAAGCCCATGTCCAGGATCCGTTTGTGTGTGGTGGCTCTTGATGCACTGACTCCAGCCTCAGTCCACTCCTTGTGAAAGTCCCCAACACTTTTGAATGGCCTTTTCCTGACAATCCTCTCCAGCCTGCGGTCATCCCTGCTGCTTGTGCACCTTTTTCTTCCACACTTTTCCCTTCCACATAACTTTCTATTCATGTGCTTTGATACAGCACTTTGGGAACATCCAACTTCTTTTGTAATTACCTTTTGAGGCTTTCCCTCCTTATGGAGGGTGTCAATGATGGTTTTCTGCACAACTGTGAGGTCAGCAGTCTTTCCCATGATTGTGATTCCTACTGAACCAGACTGAGAGACCATTTAAAGGCTCAGGAACCCTTTGCAGGTGCTATGGCTTAGTTAGCTGATTAGAGTGGGACACTTTGAGCCTCGAATATTGAACCTTTTCACAATATTCTAATTTTCTGAGATTGTAGATTTGGGGTTTTCATGAGCTGTAAGCCATAATCATCTCAATTATGCCACATCACAGCTTGAATTTTCTTGCTTTGCATGTAATGAGTCTATCTAATATATTAGTTTCACCTTTTAAGTTGCATTACTGAAATAAATGAACTTTTGCACGATATTCTAAGTTTTCGAGTTTCACCTGTATATCCCCTTATGTCACTATTCTATCTCTGTTGATGCAACTCAAGACTGCTATTGAGATTCTCAATCATCCAGGTCACGATTGTCCCAAAGGCACTTTTCAAAAAGGCAACCGGACGTTCTTGTTTTTTTCTTCCATGAAACATTTCGCTTCTCATTCAAGAAGCTTCTTTAGCTCAATGAACTGAACTTCAATGAACTGAAGAAGCTTTTCGGATAACAAGCTAAACGTTTGTAAGTGGAAAAAAAACCAAGGAAGTCCAGTCGCCTTTTAGAAAAGCACCAAGGGGACAACTCAAGACTGCATTAATTCGACAACTGCAGCACAATTCTGGCTCGTGCTTAACCTATAAACCAGGTCACCTATAAACTTCTCACGAGAACCATTCCTGAGACAAATGTCACCTACTTTGTCACCTGTGCATCACGTTTGTCCTATATAAGTCCTGAACACATTTTTTTTTATCATAACTGGTCTGAATTTTGATGTAAAGGGCCCAATGGTTAATTCTATCAAGATTCTTTTAAGTCTTGTATCTGTCTTCTGAAGTATTAGTGGTCTCTTCCAGCAAAAAAAATATATATATATATATATATATATACTCCCCACCCCACCCCAAAAAGCAGTAAATTCAGTATAACAAGCCTATATTGGCTTCTAGCAATATCCTTATTTCATTCTAAGTGTTGGTTTTGTTTGATTATCTTTTTCTAGGATTTTGTCATGTAGAGGTATGCAACTGACCAGCCTGTAGTTTCCTGAGTCCATTTTGCCTATTTTGAAGATAAGAAAAAAATATTCATTCTTCACCAGTCTTCCAATACTTCCACTGTATTTGACAGAACAGTCAAAGATCAGGTCCACCAGTTCCTTAGGCCTCTGGGATTCATTCAAAACAGCTAGGTGTTCCTTCACAAATTATTTACCTATTATAATCTATTTTTGTTCTATGCCCTTATGGTGTGGCTTCCTAATACTTTCTAATGATGTGATGTATTCCCCCACCCCAAAAAAAGCTAAACAAAACTGCTTTAGCAAGCAAGGAGGTACAAATATTTCTGCAGAAAGCAAGGAGGTGCAGCTGTTTATGCAGAACCCATAAACATTTTTTTCCCCCTTAGGGTCTATAGAGAACAGCCAAATTAGTTGAGTTGTAATGTGGGGAAAGGGGGAGGGAAGTACATGAGACAAAGAACAGACTGAACAGATCAAGACCTGAATGTCAGTTCTATTTTATTACAAAAGTCACAAACTTTCTCTTTTCAGCACAGTTGAGATTTATTCGACCTGAATATTTAATCTAAAGTAGAATTGCTTTGAACTGCATTCCTTGTGGAACCCATTGTGATTTGCAGCAAAGAAAGGGATTGTCAAAAGAAAAAAAAACAAGTGAAGAACAAGCCATGTCTCAGCTTTTTCTGCACTGGGATGCTGTTTCAAGCTGGCATTTTCAACGAGCATATATTACTGTACAACAGACTTGACATTTCATGGGTCAATGTATCCTTTGAAAATGATTCCGAAGAAGCCCTTAAACCTCAGGCAAGCACTTTTCTGCTGTTCCTTCAAGCAACCCTACTTTCTCAGGCTGTTGTATGAGTTATTCAAGTCAACTGTTTAAAGCAACTACATCATTTTTTGTAGTCATACAGAGCAGCGGTCACCAACTGGTGGTCCGTGAGAAAATTTCAGTGGTCTGCAGAAAAATGATTTGCATTTTTTATACTGCACTAAATCAGGGGTTTGTGTTGCTGCAGAGTTTCTCCCCCTTTGGGGTCTTTTTCTGCGGGTCGGAAGGTGGCAGAAATTCTGACTTGAGGTCTGCTTCAGCCTCCTGGTGCGGGGCTTTGGGTGAAGGCTGATGGAGAAGAGCTGGAGGGCCTCGTTCCAATGATACTGCATCATGGCCTGGAACTAGCTGACCACCTCAGCCCACTGAGCATGCAGGCGCCACTACCTGGCCTTGCACTCCTGCAGATCTTCCCTCTGCTTGGACAGCCGATGCTCATGGTCCTCATAGTGAGGTACTTCTGCTCAGCCTCCTTCTCGGTCAGATCCAGTTTGAAGTGAGCCAGCTGTTTTGCCAACTCTTTCTTGTGGCGGCTGCTTAGCTCCAACAACTGCTACCTATTGGGGTCCTAAGGAGCCCAGGCGGAGATGAGTGGCTGGGAGGGGAGGGGCGGGTAGAGACCACCGAGGCGCCCCTTGACATGAGTGACATCAAGTTGGCTATGCCCACCCAGTCACATGCCCACCTAGCCACACCCACACCCACACAGCTGATTGTTAGGCAGATCATATTAGTGGTCTGGATTTATGGATTTAGTAGTCCCTGAGGTCCAAAAGGTTGGTGACCGCTGATACAGAGAACTGATAAAACAGAGTTTTTTTTAATAAATAACTTGGCTTATGCCACATTTGAGCATTTTAGGATGAAAGTGTGCACATTCCTCTTTTTTATATATGAAAAAATATTAATTATGAAGTAAAAGAAACAAATTCATGGAATCCCACTCATTCATTTACCACTCAGTTCTTAATTTATGTACTTTCATTACATTTAATATTTGTTAATATTTAATATTATATTCCTTTTTCAAGAATTGTACTTGGTTAACTGGAATACCAGGTTTTATCAAGTTGACTCTCTCTCTCGTGTTACATATAACTTTTTTCTAGAATTCACTAACAATATTTCATATGCTTATTAATGTTATGTCAACCTACAAATTCTTTTTTAAAACATTGCTACAAAACATCTATGTTTACATAGATACTCCAGCTCAGAAATGAAAGAAAGTTGTTTTCAATTGATGTATATTGTTAATTCTACAGACTAATAGTTCTGTAGGGCTTTCACGCTAACGTTTGACCTTGTTTTTCACAGCATACAGCTAAAATACAATAAGCAGATGGTCAGGAAGTACATTAAAACTTGAATTCTTTTTCCTAGCACTGTGAAATGTAAATTGCAATGGAATTAATAACATGTCAGCTGCAAGCTATTTTTTAATGCAACCATGAAATGTATTATCTGGAATGAATGTATAACATATGGACACTGAGATCAATTTAATTGGACAAGCTCTAATGAATCTGACTCCAAAAACGGTATTAATAAATAATGCATTCTATGCTTGGTCTTTTTCCTGGTTTGGCATTTTAATACATAATTGTAAATTCCTTTAGTTGGTATTTCGATGTTATAATATTATAGCAACTATTCAAACCTGGGATTGTGCTGAATGAATGTTAGTAATGACTGGTGCTCAAAGTTCTGTCTAGCACAGCATCTCAAATGGTCACAAGATGACCAGGGTACTTGTCATCCGGCTTGGATTTCTAATCATCAATAGCAATAGCACTTAGACATATATATCACTTCACAGTGCTTCACAGCCCTCTCTAAGCGGTTTATAGAGTCAGCCTATTGTCCCCCAACAATCTGGGTCCTCGTTTTACCGACCTTGGAAGGATGGAAGGCTGAGTCAACCTTCCATCCAAGCTGATTATGATTTGTGACCTTCCCTGCTGGCTTCCCATAAGTAAAATCAATGGGGAAGCTGGAAGGAAGTCATTATCACATGAGGTCCCCATTTAATAACCCATGCTTGCTTAATTATGGTAACTGGGGACTGCTAGAACTGCCATTTGCATTGCAAATGTAAATTTCACTTAGCAATGGAAATTCTGGTCCCAAGAGTGATGTGGTGGCCTAGAGGTGCAGCTCTTGACTCACAATCAGGAGGCTGTGAGTTCGATCCTAGGTAGAGGCAAAATGAGGGCACAATGAGAATATATCTGCTGAACAAAACTCCACACTGGCGACAGGAACAGCATCCAGCCAGTAGACACTCTGCTAGCTACATTTAGTTGCCCAGACTGACTCCATCCCACAAGGGATTATGGGGCCGTTAAAAGATGATGATGATGAATGGAAATTCTGGTCCCAATTACCATGCTTAACCGAGGACTACCTGTAAAGCGTCTTTAAACATCTGGAGCCTCTGCTATGGTTGCAAAACAGAACTTCGAGGAATATTTTTACCTATTACCCATGAGATGATCAGCATTTCCATCCAGGAGAAGCAAGATGTCTTCATTCGAAACAGCTGTTTCGCACTATCTGTCACGGTTTCATTGGGCTTGAGTTTGATGCCATCAAATCTGTCTGCTGCATTCATGACCAGGAGCCCAAGGAAAATGGTGAAAGAGGCTGCATGTGCCATAAATTTCATAAAGGGCCCACGCATGATTCTACCCAACTGCAAAACAAGCCAAAAAAGAAAATTCTTTTAGACTACATTTAGAGGAAACTGGTAGTTAATGTAATAAAACAGGAACAAATGAATGCAACAAGCAAAATTGTATTTATTTTTTTGTCGAAAGCTTACAATATAACAGAAAGAAGGATAAACATAAGTTTAAATACAAGAAATAGGAACTAATAATTGGGGAAAATAGGACAGGGACGGTAGGCATAATTGTGCGCTTATACATGCCCCTTACAGACCTCTTAGGAATGAGGAGAGGTCAATGGAGGTTAGTTTGAGGGTAAAGGAGTGGGGGTTTGAGCAGGTGACAACAGAATCAGGTAGTGAGTTCCAGACATTGACCACTATGTTGCTGAAATTGTACTTCCTGCAATTGAGTTTGGAGTGGTTTGCATTTAGTTTATATCTGTTGTGTGCTCTTGTGTTGTTGTTGTTGTTGAAATATTTATTAACTGTTAAGATGTTGCAACATATGCAGGAGTGGGATTCAAATTTTTTAACAACCGGTTCTATGGGTGTGGCTTAGTTGGTGGGCACGGCTTGGTGGTCATGCCACTGGCTGGGCGTGGCCAACTCAATTTCACTCACATCAAGGCACACATCTCCTTGCCTGGCCTCTCATGACTGTGGGGATGCTGCAACAGCCGTAAGGGTGAAAAATGGTCATGTCACTTTTTTCAGTGCCATTGTAACTTTGAATGGTCACTCTACACAAGCAAAGTACCAACAAAGGAGGGGGAAAAAACAGAGACAGGAAGTCTAGTCCTGCCAAGAATGTAATAAGGGTTAACTGAGAGGCAGTTTCTGTAAGCAACACCAGAATGTTTCCTTCCTGCCTTCCTTACAGGATTAGGCCAGTAATTTCTTCAAACAACCGTTTCTCTGAACTGCTTAGAATGTTAACAACTGTTTCTAGCGAATAGGTGCGAACTGGTAGAAACCCACCCCTGAACATATGATTTTATCTACGATGCTTAAGTCCAATCTTATCCAGCGTAGTTCAAGGTTGTCTAAGCCTAGATTCTCAAGTCTGGTGCTGTAGGGTATTCTGTTGCGAACATAGGAATGTAGTACTCCTCTGGTAAAATAATTCTGAACTCGCTCAATTGTAAAATAATGAGCTAATATACATGTAATAGCCAGCGACTATATTTTAGCATACAGGTAGTCCTCAACTTACGACTATAATGGAGCCCAACATTTCTGTTGCTAAGTGAGACATTTGTTAAGTGAGTTTGGCTCCACTTTACGACGTTTCTTGCCATAGCTGTGCAGTGAGTCGCTGCAGTTGTTAAGTTAGTAGCATAATAGTTGAGTGAATCTGGTTCCCCCATTAACTTCTCTTCATGAGAAGATCACAAAAAAGGATCACATGACCCCAGAACACTGCAACTGTCCTAAGGATGAGTCAGTGGCCAACCATTTTAATTTTGATCACATGACCATGGGGAATGTTGCAATGGTCACAAGTATGAAAAATGGCCATAAGTCACTTGTTTCAATGCTGCTGTGATGACCTGTAGTGTAATACAAATGTAACAAAATCCAAAACATAAATAAATGTCCTTTAATGCCTCCAACTTGGCCCCACTGTTCAATAATTCTCCGTTGGAGATAAAACTTATTCAAAAATAGTCTTCAAAAGAAAGCAATACAGTCCAAACTTAATGAGCAGATAGAGGTGAAATAAAAAACTAAAACAAACTACAATGAGGGAATTTCCACAACAGACCAGGATAAGTAATTACCAACTTCAAGGAGATAACAAGGCACAGTCTGTTGGAAGGATGCCAACCAAGATAACTTCAGCCCAAAATAACACACCCTTTGCTTCTGGCAATACTGTGTTGTAATCGTCTCCCTTATATACTATTCTCCCCAGCTGCAACCAATGAGGGGGATCATGGCCGCTTCCTGTCTCATAAGTCAAGTTGTTGCCTTCTCCATTCTGCCCTGCATATCTTAGGATGAAGAGGGGATGGGCCTGGGTCTTTCTCTGACTGCCCAGCCAGCCTCTGCTTTTCCCCAGCCTCCTCTACAACCTCCAGAGGCACACCTCCACTCCCTGTCGGCTGTTCCTCCTCTCCCTCAGAGTCTAACTCTAACAAGGGCATGACAGCTGCTGTAATTTTGAACTAAACAAACCACTGTAAGTCTGGGACTACCTACAGTAGCCGTCACCAACAGGTGGTCCCTGAGAAAATTTTGGTTGTCTGCAGAAAAATTATTTGCATTTTTTATACTGCACTAAATCAGGGGTCATCAAACTATGTGAACCAGCTGTTTCGCCAACTCTTTCTCATGGTGGCTGCTTAGCTCCAACAACTGCTTCCTGTTGGGGCCCTAAGGAGCCCAGGCAGGGAGACAAGGAGTGGCTGGGAGGGGAGGGGTGAGTAGAGACCGGCAAGGCACCCTTTGACATGAGTGACATCGAGTTGGCTATGCCCACCCAGTCATATGCCCACCTAGCCACACCCAAACAGCTGGTCATTAGGCAGATCATATTAGTGGTCTGTGGGATTTAAAATTATGGATTTAGTGGTCCCTGAGGTCCAAAAGGTTGGTGACCCTTGTCGTAGATTACAATTTCCATCTTCTACCAACCCCATGAAGCACATTCTTTCAGAAATGTTTTATTTTATTTTTATTTTATTTGGTTTGTCAATTGCTTACAAATAATAGGTATAAGTAAAAACATAGTTATGAATACATGGATACATATAATAAAAGAAACAATAGGACAGGGATGTTAGGCACGTCGGTACGCTTATGCACGCCCCCTACAAACCTCATAGGAAAGGGGTGAGGTCAATAGTAACAAGTCTAAGGTTAAAGTTTTTGGGGTTTGGGGAAGAACCCACAGAGTCAGGTAGAGTATTCCAGACATTGACCACTCTGTTGCTGAAGTCGTATTTCCTGCAATCAAGTTTGGTGCGATTAACCTTGAGTTTGTATCTATTGTTTGCTCTTGTATTGTTATGTATTGTTTTCTTGTATTGTTAAATGTATGCCATCAGCACATTTCTTAAGTACACGGTGAATATGTTGCCCATGTATGTCCTTCATGGATGGATGCAAGCAGTGTGTGGGACTAATGTATAACTTTCCCAAGCCAACTGGTCACACTAAGCGCAACACTGGGCATTTATTCCAAAGCGAGACTCACTGCATTTCATAAGTTTTATGTTTGTTCAGAGGGCTGCCTAAAATAAGTTTTGCCTTCCTTCTGAAAAATAAGCAGCTGTCTTCCATGGCCAGATGGCCATCATTCCTAATCACTCTTATTAATGACCTAGACAAAGGGTTTTTTTAAAGCTTCCAAAAGGACAGTTTAAGACTTTGATGATTAAAATGCACTTTATAAAAAGGCTTTCTTTTAAATCGATTGTGTATCTCTATTTAAATCTGTATAAATTTGAAGGAAAAAGTCAAGCAGGGGAATGAAGCTTCAAAATGGAAAAATTATGGAAGTAAAACAAGGTAATGGCAGAATAGCTAGAGAAGGATTAATTCGCATCACCTGTAGTAAATATCATTACATGGCATTTTTTGGATATGTTAGATTACAATATTCATCTTCTACTAACCACCATAGCCATGCAGTTGGGTAGGGAGATGTTGTTTAACTGGGATTATGGGAATTATAATCTCACACACCCAGATGCATCACATTTTAAAACAACCAAGTGTCATAAAAAATACCAATAGGAAACAGACAGCAACACAAACAAAAATTCTTACTTTAAGATCAGAGGTTTATTGTTTCTAACAATTTGCAACATAAGAAATGAATAGATATAAAAGATATAATAGCAGTAATACACTTTGGGGACGAGTGGTCTGCCACCTCCAAGTGGTGTCCCCTGGATGCGCGAAGCCGTCAAACGCTGACCGTAACTGAGAGCAGACCCTCCGACGACAGGCCCACGCGACAGGCCGGCTGGAGTACTCAAAGGCCGCATCAACATGGTGGAAATGTCCACTACAAAACACACGCCCAATGCTACCGCGTTCGGGGGAACCGACGGGCGCAGGAGACCATTGGCCTGCGCCAAAAATCAACGAAATGGTCCACGCGGAAAGCACGGCGCACCTGCACCGTGTGAGAAAGCTATGGTGGCTGCGTCCGGGTCCGATGCGCACGGAGACTACCCGATCCGTGTGAAAAAACGCAAGCGGGGAACAGAGGACTGCCAGACGCTCAAGGTGGCCACCTGGAATGTGGATTCGCTGACTGGACGCTCGACCGAGATCGTCAGGGCCATGCGGGACAGGAAGCTGGACATCTGCTGCCTCCAGGAAACTCGCTGGAAGGGCAACAAGGCTACGACTATAGACGGCTATAAGATCATATACACCAGCTGTAAGGAAAACCGCGGCAGTGTAGCCGTGGTTGTCAGTCCAAGCTGGCAAAGTTCCGTCGCAGAAGTTAAGCGCCTCACAGAACGACTGATGATAATCGTCGTAGCGACCGAGAGGCAGCGCCTACACATCTTGTCCGCCTACGCCCCTCAGACCGGATGTCACGAGGAGGAGAAGGATACCTTCTGGGAACTGCTCGATATCCAACTCAGGCAGATCCCACACGAAGACGACATCATCATCTCGGGCGACCTGAATGGTCATGTAGGGCGGGACAAAAACGGACACCAGTGCCACGGCGGGCACGGCACAGGCGATACGAATGAGAATGGCCAGAGGATCCTGGACTTTGCCGACTCCCATGATATGACCATCACGAATACCTGCTTCATTAGGCGAGAATCTCAACTCCTCGCCTACCATAGCAGAAACGGGAGCCACCACACACAGATCGACTACATCATCGTACGACGAAGAGCCGCTAAAAACGTGCTCAACGCCAAGGTGTACCCGTGCGAATCGAGCAGTCAGCACAGGCCGCTGATGGCGAAGATCAGGATCAGCAAGCCCAAGACCAAGATTGACAAAAGGAATGCAGACCAGCCACGAATCAAGTGGTGGAACCAGAAGAAGATGGCGGGACCCCTCATCAAACCGGAGCAGTTCCTGCAGATGGTCGACGGGCCACAGGAAGCGTGGTCCATGTTGAAGAGCACTGTTCACACTGCCGGCTGCCAACAGCTTGGTTGCACCAAGCCAGGACGGAGACGCATCGAACGAGATACATGGCTCTGGACACCGGAAGTACAAGATGCCGTACACCTGAAGAAACGGCTCTACAAGGCCTTTCTTCAGGACAAGACCAGCGAGAAGCTCTGCGAATACAAGGCGGCCAAAAAGGCAGCCAAGAAAGCAGTAGCGACAGCCAGAAGCTCCCACTACGATGACATCTATGAGAAGCTGAACACGCGAGAAGGCGAGAATGAGATCTACCGCCTAGCCAAAAGCAGACACAGGAAGACCCTGGACATTGACCAGTTTCATGGGATCAACGACGAAAGGGGAAATTTAATCGTGAACCCCAGAGACGCTGCCGAGAGGTGGCGGCAATACTTCGAGAAGATCTCCACCGAGGAGTTCCCACACCCATGAACCCCGCGAGGTGACCCAGTTGAAGGCCCAGTCTCAGGCATTTATGCCAGCGAGGTCACCGACGCCATCAAGGCCATGAAAAACGGTAAGGCAACAGGACCAGACGACATCCCTGCCAACTTCTGGAAAAAGGCACTACCGGGCTCGGCATTGTGGCTGTGCGAGCTGTTCAACAACATCGTCTCCACGGGAAAAGTGCCACACGACTGGTACCGCAGCACCACTGTTCCGATCTGGAAGGGAAAGGGCAGCCCAGCGGACTGCTCCAACTACAGACCGGTCAGGTTACTGTCACACACTATGAAGATCTTCGAACGTGTCCTTGATAAGCGCATTCGGGACATCGTCGACATCAGCGTCAACCAGGCTGGATTTATCAAGAACTGCGGCACCACCGACGCCATCTTCGGTGTGCGGATGCTGATGGAGGCTCACAGAGAGAAGAAAATCCCGCTCCACACCGCCTTCCTGGACTTGGAAAAGGCCTTCGACCGAGTCCCGCACGATCTCATCTGGTACGCACTGCGAGATCACGGCGTGCCTGAGCTGCTCGTACAATGGGTCCAACTCCTATACAGATGTCACAAAAGCCGTGTAAAAGCGGCAGCTGGGATATCAGAGGAGTTTAATATCACCGTCGGCGTACACCAGGGCTCTGCTCTCTCACCACTGTTGTTCATTCTGGTGATGGACACAATTACACACGACCTGTACACGCCCGCCCCATGGACGCTGCTCTACGCCGATGATGTGTTCCTGGCTAACCTGTGCAAGGCTGAACTCGAGCACCTAGTCCAACAGTGGCACAACCGCCTCGAGCAGTTCGGGCTCCGGCTGAACCTAAAGAAGTCCGAATACCTGACCACTGACAATGAAATGACAGGCTCCATCCACGTGAACGGGCAGGAGCTACCGCGCGCCTCCACCTTCAAGTACCTGGGAACTACTCTTGGGGAAGAAGGCCTACTACAAACTGAGGTGGCAGCCAGGATCAATGCAGCGTGGGGCAAATGGAAGTCCGTCACGGGCGTCCTCTGTGACAAGAAGATGCCGATGCGCCTGAAGGCGAAAATCTATAACTCTGTGGTGCGCCCCGTGGCCATATATGGCGCAGAATGCTGGCCGGCGACCAAAGAAGTCGAAAGCAGACTCCAGATAATGGAGATGCGAATGCTCCGATGGTCGGTAGGCCTCACCCTACTCGATCGCGTCAGGAACGAAGAAGTGCGTAGACGGTTCAACGTCGTGCCCATCCCCACGGTCATGAGGCAGTCCCGGCTACGATGGTTCGGCCACGTGAGCCGCGCCAAGGAAGAATCTATCATCAAATCTGCAATGAAGGTGACTGTCGGAGGAACGAGACCGCGTGGTAGACCTAAGCAACGCTGGATGGACACGATCAAGGCCGATCTAGAGATCGCGAAGGCAGACCCGACATACGTGGTAGACAGAGAGGTGTGGAAGCAGTACTTAAGGACATTAGCGGACCTCGCCCGAGCGCGAGACAAACGCTGAAGAAAAAGAAGAAGAAGAAGAATAGCAGTAATACACTTACATTAATAAGCCATTGCAATGGGGTCCAATGACATATAGCAGGTCCTTCAAGGACCGCCATAAATCAAAGGGCCCCCAGCTGATCTCTAACCCTATCCTTTATACTTTTCTTCTAACCACATACACACTTCACAACTTCACTAACCATCACTTTCTGTAAACACCTGTGTTCTTTACTTTCAGTTCCTCATTTCCAACAGTTTCATTCTTCCTGTTTTAAACTTATCCATCCAAGCGCATACTTTGCAAAAATATGTTTTCACAGTTAGCAACAGCTCAGCAGGATTACAAATAGTTCTGGTATATTTTGAAACCATCCTATCTGAAAACTTTGGTCCATGTCTCTTTCTTCTGAGGCCTGCTATCATCCATAGGACTTATTGAATCTAATAGATCATTAAGTGATATCTTTGATTCTCACACAAGAGAGAGTTGCGGTACCTTAATTACATTTACTGCATCATGTGTTTTTCAGAGATGTAAGGCATCGTGACATTTCTGAAGTAGATGGTGAAAATGTTGCCCCTATATATCCTTCATGGGTGGGTGCAAGGAAATAAAACAGATGACAACATGAAATCGGGGAGAGCAAATCACGCTGTCCCATGCAGTTATAGTTAGAAATTAACTCTTTCCATTCTGCAACATTTTCCCAACGTAACTCACCCTTTATTTATACGCTTCATAAAGGAAAAATTAAGAATATGCATTTTTAGGCAAATTTAGAAAGGAAATTGACCCATGGACTCATATTTTTGACCCACTGTAGTAAATCTCTATTCTCAAAGAGTGCTTATAAAGAAAAGCTTACAATGGGAAATTCAATTGTGATAATGCCATCCATGATTTGAGCTGAAATCCCATGGCCAAAGACAGACACAACCAAGAATACTCACTCTTTCTTTTTCTCTTTCTTTCTTTCTTTCTTTCTTTCTTTCTTTCTTTCTTTCTTTCTTTCTTTCTTTCTTTCTTTCTTTCTTTATCTCTATATCTACCTATCTATCTACCTACCTATCTATCTATATTGCTCTTGTTTGTGTATGTGCATATATGTCACACACACACACACACACACACACATATATATATATCCTAAATTCTCCTAGGACTTTTATTAATTAGGAAAATGCTGAAAAACTACTCATTCAAGTAGTTCAAATACATGAAATATTATATTAAGTGTATATATGTCTTCTGATCAATACTTAAGAGAGGAATTATAGTTAATAGAAGGGATAATCGATGGTGGAAATGTATTCCAGGTTCAAATATTAGTTTCAATCATCTAAGTAAAGAAATCTGCGAATGGCTCTGTCCATCCAAGATACTATGCTTCAGTAACCACAATAGTTATGTTAAAATAAGGGGCTGTTTTAATAGGAAACACACACATAATCATAGACGGACGGATAGAAAGTGTGCTAAGGCCCCAGACTGGAAATCAGGAGCCAGGCACATTCTTTCAGACCACTTCTGAGATCTTGCCAAGAAAACCACAGGGGGCAGTTTTTATGCCAATGCCTGGAAGCTTGCTTTTTTTTATCGTCTACATCTGTTCACTCATTTGATAATCATCATTATTAGTATAAGAAATAACTCTTTCTTCTCCCTCTCTCCTAATAAACTTTATCAGCATAGGAAATGTCATTCATTTTTATTCATTTGGAACTTACACATGGATGTTTATATAACTACAAGCAGTCTAGTAGCAAGGCATAGGAATTGCACATGGAAAATCTTGGGGTGAAACCTTGTGCCTAATAATCTGTATTTTATCATAAAGACCAATCCAAATTTAATCATGTTGACCACCGGCTCTTCTGTATCTTTAGTTTAAGCACAATTGTGATATACTGCATGAGCAAATTTGCCTGCATTTATATATAAAGTATCTGTTTCATATTAAGCAATCTAAGAGCGATTGTCCTTCCAATCAAAATGAGTGCCTATAAGTTAAGTCCTTTTGTTGACATGTATTTAATGTGCTCAAGTAGAGTTAATGTGCTCATGGTTTAGAATAGAATAACAGGGTTGGAAGGGACCTTGGAGGTCTTCTAGCCCAACCCCCTGCTCAGGCAGGAAACCCTATTTAAACCATGTTTAAAGTAGGTTTGGGTAAAATGTTTCAGATTTGAAATATTTTAATTTTGGAAGTGGCTTGCTGCAATCTTCCCATCACAATGGAAGAATGCAAATTCAAAGTGTATTTCTAAAAGGCAACTGGACTTTCATGTTTGTTTGTTTTTCCCTTTTCCCTTGCTAGAACTTACAGTCTCCCAGTTTTGGCATGTATATGATTCATTTCACTGCAACTGACAGTGGTCCAAAAAAACTATCTCTGTGTTTATATCAATCAACAATCCAAGGTAAATCAGACAGGAAAATCAACTAGATGAGCTAATTCTATTTTATTGTAAGACTATATTAACAGAATCTGGCAAGTCTTAAGATACAAACTTCTCATTGCTAATTTTAATTGTTTAATTCATTAAGACAAATGCTTACTAAAAGAAATTGAGACACTAGCTGCTCCTGCCTCTCTCCTCTGATGGTTTCCTAGGCAGCATCCCTTGCCTTCATCCCCAAGGTCATTCACACATTCCATTCTATCATCTATTCTTTCTCACATGTGAACCAAGCCCCAAAGTTATTAAAAAATCAGGTCCATCTAAACACCAACTCGTACCTTACTACATGGAGCAATCCAATAAGCAATTGAAAGGAAGGGCAATCCAACAGCTACAGCAAGTACCACTAAAAACTTCACTGCCATGGTTTGTTGTCGTAAACCCGATAGATTCTCATACCAGATTGAAAGAAGCTGCTGCTGGCAGTTTGGATGTGCAACAAACTGTGAAAAGAAAAAAGAACACAAAGAAGCATTAGCCATAATCTGCCATAATCTGCCACTCACCTCAAAAGTAGGATGCTAAAACAAGATTAAAACAGAAAAATATCTAAGTAATCTTCACACCACAGGTGCAAAGGAAGCATGAAACTTAAAGTGGGGGGAAAACCTCTTTATGTGCCTTATGTCTTTTTCTAAAGTAGAGAATTTTGATTACTTAACAAGCAATGTGAGTTTGCTCTAGAAAGTAATCAATGAAAACTGAATGCAATTATCAATATTGGTTTAAAGGAGGAAAAAGACAAATGAGAGACCATAATAATAAAAATTTCACAGTCATAGATCCTATACAATCAGCTGTGGATTTGCAAAAGAAGGGAATCCAGAGTTATGATTTATTTGTGGTATAGTTCTATTACATTTTTGGAACTGAGAATATATTTTAGTATGTTTATATTTAAAAGTAATGATGGACTCAACTAATTATTTTATTTTTTTGGAATTTTTGGAACATATTAGAAAATTATATATCTTTTTTTGTATTGTCCACCAAGATTTGGCAGCATGGTTTTTAATGGCTGTCAAAAAGTGGTACTTGTTGATAACATGTGATCAAAGGATTGTGGGTAATTCCTTGAAAGCAAGGAAAGCCTACAAAAAATGCCATCGGGTTAGGAAGTAGACTGATCAGCACCAATCATTCTCCAAGATATATGAATATCAAAAATTTAAATGCTCCAGGATGCTACTTTGAGACAAGGATGTCACACTATTTAAGACTATTTTTGGTGTTCCATGCTAACGGTATTTAACAATTGTGAAGGGCTTAACTGAAAACCTCTCAATTAATCTCAGAACTCACTTTTTTGACTTCATATTTTATAGCCCGTTTTAAGCGGCTCAGGCTTGGACGTCCATGGTCTCCATGGTTCAGTTCAACATCTCCGTTGAGGATAGCTTCCACTTCTTCTGTGTTTCTGCACAAATCAAGAAGTCCGACCACAAAGTCCTTGCATTGCATTGACAATTTTTTGTAATCGTTCTTTGAAGGAAAAGAAATTGATGAGTCAATAAACAGTCTCTCCCATTCCCAGTAACACAAAAGTACGGAGGAACTCTCTTAGTAGGCTGTTGGAAGCAGGAAAGCTCTACTACAGAATGTATTCTACTTTGGGTCTAGCTGTGGAATTTTCTGCTCCTCAATGGGTGTAGATTAGTGAATAATGGAACATTAACTTTCAAGAAATTAGGGATGATTATGAGATAAGGGAGTGGTGTGTTCGGCATGCAATGTTAAATATAAAAATGCAATTCTTAGGAACTATATGTCAGCCGTTGTAGGAGATTACCGGGATGAGTGAAGGGACTCGAGACTGATGACATATTTGACCAGTGGACATGTCATCAGTCTTGAATGCCTTCATGCCTACAAGAGGTATAAGTCCAGACCATCTTGAATTCCTGTGACTCTTATCTACTACCAATTTACTTTGACCATTAGTAATTTAGATTCCTGAATGATGCGGTGGCCTAGAGGTGGAGCTCTCACCTCACAATCAAGCGGCTGTGAATTCGATCCTTGTTAGAGGCAGATATTTTTCTCTCTGGGCACGATGAGACTATATCAGCTGAATATAACTCTGCATTGGTGACAGGAAGGGCATCCAGCCAGTAATCACTCAGCTCCATTCAGCTGCCCAGACTCCATCCCGCAAGGAGTTATGGGGTCATTAAAAGATGATGATGATGGTGATTAGTAATTTAAATTCCTGTAGAGAACTTAAGCTTGCAATAAATCTTTATACCCATTTGAACTGCCTGGATCGTCTGATTTTCTAGTGCTTGGACAGTCCTTTTATATACGCCCTTCATTACAAGACGTTAGATTACTTGTGAGACTGTCTCCTCCCAACTGTTTCTATTCAGTGCATTACTTTGGGCAGAGTGGCCTGTTCCAGGTCCCAATAGTGAAATAATGTTACTTCGTGAGTGCTAGGAAGCACACGTTCTCTGACACGTTTCCTGTCTGTGGAACAGTCTCTCCCAAGGTAGACAGACAGACTTGGTCCTAGTATTGTTCTAGAACAGGCCTGTCAAACTGGAGACCCAAGGCAAAAAAATGTCACAATACATCACAATATGTCACGCGACGCGATTGAGTGACACTCATGTTCTAGAAGGCTGTGAAGACTTGGCTTTTCCTCCAGGTACTGGGGTCAGGCTGTGAATGGAATTTGGGCATTGGTGTGGCTGTGTTGACATGTTCGTAATGAGATTTAGGGGAACCTCAATGCAGAATTTAATTTTTTCTAATGGTTTTTAAAAATCTAATTTCTGTTTTCTATTGCCACTTAGAAGTACTCTGGTAGATGGATGGCTATAAACATTTTAACAAATAAATAAATGTGCCAATAATAATAATAATAATAAATTAACAAATGTTTTTAAGCTATAGACAAAAATTTAGCATTCAGAAATAACAGATGATTGTCAGGTAAAATTATTATTAAGCCTCAGCTAGTGAGTAAGGCCAAAGAGACAAGAACTGCTAAGATTTCAGGAAAGTATATTTGATGCTGGGTTAAAAGCAGAACTTTGAAAACTGTGAGAGTTACCTCTTAGCTTCAATTTATAGCAAGTTATTTAGGGCAGAATTTCTTCTAATGCTTTTTGTTATATCTCTCAGCAGATAGAGTAAGATACTTCTTCTGAAATAAATATTCAAACATCTTATCCTCACTTTCCCCTAATCTTGCACAATTAGTAGATCATTATAGAAATGGTATAAAAAGAAAGTACTGAAGATCCTTAATCAATAATTTTTCAATTAATTTTAATATGATGATCCTTATTTATTGTTTTAATGTTTTAAGAATATATTTTAATTGAATGTCTGTAAGCCATCTCAACTCGCCTCTGGCAAAATAGATAGATAGATAGATAGATAGATAGATAGATAGATAGATAGATA